ATATACAGCGTTTATATTGTATTAACTAAACTAGATATGCATTTTATTTATTGACATTAGCAGTAACAAATTTAAATTCTAAAAAAGAAGTGCTTTATGTCTTGATACAATCATTTGTTAGCTATAATATTTAGGCTGTTGTCTGTTGATATATTTTACATTTTAACTACATAGTAATTGAATTATTATCAAATTTGTAACAGTAGACAGTAGTACATTTTATAAACTAAGTTAAAATATTATTATAATGTCGTGCCTATTTAAATGCACGCTTTATTTTAAATATTAACACCGGGAATTATCATTAATATGTTATCACTTATCACTACGATAATCACGGAAGTCAAATTGTGGAGCAAATCGCTAGGGGTGCCGCGCGCGTGATAAGGATGCCAAAAATCTGCTGCTGGGAAGCTCTCGTCAATCGCACAAGCCGTTATCGCTAGCGCTCGGTTGTTATCAATAATTATTGTGTAACGATTATCCTAAAATACGATAAGCCATTATGAATATTTACGAATAAATCACGAACGCCTTGACTAGCCTTATTATATAATAATCTTTTTTGTTTAATGTTCTTACACTTAAATACATAATTTAATAATGTACTTAATTGATCTAATTTTCAATATTTTAATATAACGTATGTTTTAGGATTGTGTGTGTTCGTATTTACCTCATTAATTACAAACATTTCGATATGACTTTGACGAACAAGGGATCTATTCGATTGATGGTTTGATACTTTAATCTGCCGATATTGTACAGTTCTTTTTCCTTTGTCTAAATGGTAGTAATGATTGTCACAAAACAAATCAACTTCCATTCCCTATTCTTTTATTAATATATTATGATCATATATTTCAGATTAATTTGTTCGACGTTCAGTTTTAAATTAATTGAGTACAACAAACTATCACAATGTCATTCACATTCTCAGTGTTCACTTATATTGTGGCCATGGTATCAGATGCATTTTTAATATTTTTTTCAATATTCCACGTAAGTACCATAATGTAATAGAAATATAGAATTATTAGAGATCATTTAAAATATTATTAGGTAAGTGGTTTAAATGTTTTACAGATATAATTTAACTAGCCAAATGATGTAAATATACACAACACATAATATCAAACATTTTGTCTGTGAGTGAATAAAGAAATCTCTACTACCTACTCTCCTCCTAATTTTTTCCCCAGACTGTCCTCGCTTATTGTTATTACATTTATCGATAGTAAAAAAACCTGCACCTATTTTAACATTTCTCTTCTTTGCCATATCAAATAACAATTTTTAAATGAATTTAAAATAATTTAGGTACTTATTAATTATTAATTATTAATTCATGTTATTATAAGTTGCTTACCCAATAAATTGAATTAAACACAAGATAATTATCTACATGAAATTAAATTTTTTTTCTAGGTTATTGCATTTGATGAACTTAAAACTGATAGCAAAAATCCTATAGATCAATGTAACAGTCTAAATCCAGTAAGTATAAACAAAACTAGTTGTATAAATAATCATGCATTCATAATTCAGTTTTAATTATATTGAATTGAAAATATAATTGTAAATGAATTGTAGATATTATTGATTTAATTTAATTTTTTTTATAAAACATTATTGGCATAATATAAGTATCAAGTAATTATAATAACGTGCTCTAAAATGATCTCTGGCATACAATAATTCTCAGTAGACATGTAAATACGATATTGCAATCAAATCAATGGCTTAAAATATTTTTACTAATTTGTTTTACATAATATATAGGTGTATCATATAGCAGCGGTTCTCAACCTTTGTGTAGTGGCGACTCAAGATATTTACCTAATTTTTCATGCGCCTTTTTTTATAAAAATATCTTTAATGGGGGAACAAAAAATAACTGTTAGGTACTCTAAGTAATTAATTTTGTTTTCACTCATATTACTTTTGCTAATAACAGGTCATAATATCAATTACATTCTATTTAAAAATAAACAAATAAAAATGTTATATCAGAGTTTTAAATTTTTGCCGACTCATTTAACATTATTGGCTACCCAAAATTGAATCCCAACCCTATGGTTGAGAACGTCTGTCATATAGAGTATATGCACAACATAGACTTGAGCACGGGTGCAGAAAATGCTACTTTTGCTCCACCTGTAAATTATTTTGGATTTAGTGGGCCGGTGGATATTTATTTGAAAGGTATACATAGAATAAATAATTTATGAACATTGAATTAAAAATAAAAATATTCAACTTAATTCAAATGAAAAATGATAATACTATTTCATCAATATGAGAAGTCTGAAATTAGAAGTGTTTTATATTAGTGAAGAAATCCTATGTAATGCACTAGGTGTACTGACAATGAGATAATAGATACAAACACAACCATAATAGCCCAATATAATCATTTGACCAGTATAGGGTTTTGAAATAGGTCATGGATGCCCATAGGCCAGAAGTCATAATCTCATAACCGATTTGTCCATTAGATTTGTTATTTGAATATTATGAACGAATAACAACATTTCGATTTCGGGGAAAAAGTGTGCTGCTTAGTGCATATTGTTCTGTAGGGCTGGTTTAAAATGTATGCTGCAATCAACACAGAATCTTGCTCACGCCTCTGATAGAAAATAACAATATAATATGGTAGCCTGGTACTTTCTTATGATGTTTATTTTTCTATCAAACGATTAGCATTAGTAGTTATATTCATATATACCTTATGCATATTTAAGTACCTATTGTAATAAATATTGTAAAAATGTAATTACAATGTCTGAAAATTAAAAAAAATTTTGAATGTAAGGATTAGTTGGTTTTCATTTTAATAATTTCTTATCTAACTATTATTATGTGTATTAAATGTATGATATCTTTATATTATGACATAAAACGATAAGACCCATATCATATTGGAATTCAAAATTCTGATTTGAATAGTGCTGTTATTGAATAATAAATGATAATTAATATGTTTCAGTTTTGTATTTACATTACTTTGGGCAGGATTTTTCTAGTTAATTAGTTACATAATCAATTCTAGCTATATGTAAATATTGATTGAATTTTCAACTATGGAAAATTACATAACTAAATTCTAAATTAATAGAAGTTTTCATGCAAATACTTTAATAAAAAAGAGGATAAAATCTATTTGAACTTGATATATTTTAGTTAGTACTTAACTTGCACTTAAGTTTACACTTTACTTCTCAAAATTAGAAGTTTAGTGGATTATAGAAAAATAATATTTTTGTTCAGCACATAATATTATTATCACTGTATTATTTTTTTAAATTGTATAGAAGTTTATACATTTTATAATTAAAAAATAGGAAATAACTTAATTTAATTTAATTAAAAAAATGAACAATAGTTGCTTTTAAGTTAATGGAGCATAATAGATAGCCAATATGTAAAGTGTCCTTATGTTTAGAATTTGTTGTATTTTTCCATAATTGTTTACAATAATTTAATATTGTAATAAAAAATGTCTATTTTTGATTTTAGTTAGTGATTCCTGAGTATATGCTACACTTTTTCTTCAATGTTTTATTTTTGTTTGGAGGCCAGTGGATTTCATTTGCTATTAATGTACCATTAATGGCATATCATGTTAAAAGGTATCTAATAATATTTTAAAACTTAGCAAAAGTACACTATTTTGTATCTATAATGTTGTTTTTTAAAGTCACTGATTTTTTTACTTAAAGCCTAATTAAAAAAGTTGATTTTTTTACAGATATCAAAGTAGACCAGTAATGTCTGGTTTTGGTCTTTATGATCCTACAAGTATTATGAATGCTGACAAATTGCATAAATATCAACGCGAGGGTTGGATAAAATTATCATTTTATCTGTTCTCATTTTTTTATTACTTATATGGGTAAATAACTGATTTGATTTTGTTATCGAAATTGATGTAGTATTTATGTATGAATGAATTTATTTTTCAGAATGATACGAGCGTTGATAACAGTGTAAATCATATCTTCGAGCATTGGTTTTGTGCATATTTATTCAGTTTCATTGGTATAAAACAGCTATTTTTTTTATATAATTCTACCTCAGGTTACTTGTTCTATATATCAAATGAGCAAAACAAGATGTAGAACTATTGAAGCCCAATTTTTGTATATTTTTTTTGTTCTATTGTAATTTAGTGACATTAAAAAAAATAACAAATCAATATTGATCATTTTTGAATTTGTTATCTTATATAAAATTGTTTGATGTGTATTGCAAAATATTTTGTATTAATTGCAATATTTGATTTCTTTTATTAGATTTGAAGAAAAGTCATTGTGGATGTTTTTGGTATGCAGGGGAAAAAATAGTGGTATTTGTTTATTTTGTAGTCTTGTTATTAATTTAATATTAGTAGTCTACACTTCATATAATTTAATGTCAGTGTGTTCTGATTGTCCAAAGTGCTTACTAATATGATGTTAATAAAATTGTATTTCTTGTAATCTATATAAATAAAAATGGTTGTCGCTTTTTACCGCTCTTGTAATCTTCAAAACTACTCGTCAGATTCGCTTGAAATTCAGCCGGATCAGGGGAGGGTCAGTATCCTTATGAAAATCACAAAATATACTTCTCGGTCACAGAAAGTGAAGATACAAGGTTGTTAATAGTGGTGCACTCTAACGGACTAATATTCAATATACATAATGTATTTAAATGAAAACAAAACTCATTGTTTTATAAAAAAAAAAGAAAAAAACTAATAGTGTCGAGCTCTAACGGATGTATAATAATAATCTATATAAATCTATAAAACTTAATATGAATGTTAATAATAGCGCAGAACTGGTAGAACCCCAGCTTGCAATAAATAATAGTACAATTTATAAAATAAATTGAGACTGAACATCTGTTCTTACTTTTTTTTTATGTTGGAAATTCCTACCATGTTCCTCATTTTTTTGTAAATACTACTTACTATTTACAATGGTGGTGCATAACATTTTTGGTGTTCATTGGGATATCAAATCAGTATTGTAATAGTAGTCGTTAGGTACCACTTTATAAGTCATTGTATATTAATTATGTGAAATGTTAAAACTATTAGGTAACTTATCATTTTACTGAGTCTTGGTGTGTGGACATCTGACCTCACATTATTTGTGTAGAATTTAAGAAATAATTTCCAAATTCAATTTGTTTAGGTAACTATTTAAAAATGTATCTTATAATAATGGTGATAGGGATCCGTCTTACAAAGGAACAACATAGCAAAAACTGTTTTGCGCGGGACAACTTTTATCTATATGTGTTTGTAGTAGTGGCTCCAACATTTCTGAACATATCGAGTAGAAAATTATCTATGCAACAGCGTGCCTGTATTTTAGATAACATAAATACAATAAAAGTTATTTGCTTCTGAACATTTTGTTTTTTGTTTTTTTCATTTGCTTATAAAAAATAATTGGAAAGTGTAATTAAAAAAAAAGCACGCTGTTGCACAGATAAAGTTCTTCTTTACGTGTTGAGAAAATTTGGTAATTCTACAACAAATATGGTGCGAGAAAAGTTGTTCCGTGCTAAGCAGTTTTTGCTATGTTGTACATTTGTGAGACGGAGACGGCACATGCGGGTGTGGCGTCCTCTTAATATTATAAACTTTTAAAAATTTAAAATGATGAAAAAATATACATATAAGTGCCTAATTGCTTTTTCATAATGCCTATAATATAATACATTATTATTGTATATTATATAAGATGGAAACGATAAGGTATAACATATTGGAATTGCTCTATACTATAACACCATACTATACTCAAATGCCCATGGGCGGATAGGTACTTTATTCTTTTTTACTAGGGCCACATATACCTAGCACCTATATATTGTATATAAAAAAAATTAGAGTCTTATCTTTGGTACATTTACTTAACAAATCTTGATCCGTTCTTTTTGATGTCTCACTTTCGAAATTTCGTTTCGACATAATTAATAATTATCATATATATTGTTTAATAAATTAAAACACAATTAGCAAAAAGCCACAGTTACAATAGCCAATAGGAAATGTAAAATGATAACACCTGATAAAATATTAAATAATACCATAGGTAGGGCCACGATGTATGTTTTATCTACATCGTGGGTAGGGCATAAAGTAAGAATAGGTTAATGATATTATTGTACTTGCTTACTTTATAGTTTATGCTGTTTAGTAATGTTGATGTAAGAGAAAATGATATTTTAGACATTCATATTAATATGCATTGTTTAAAAATAGAACAATTACGATTCAAAGATATGTATATAAACGTGGATAGTAGATTCATCATATTTAGCTATCATTAATCGAAAAATTAAGTATTATTATTATGGTTGTTTATTTTTGTTATTAGAACATCGATTATATTTATTTATATTTTTACATTTTACACATTATTTAGATTCAGCTCAATAGAAAATAGTACATACAACAAAATAGATATGTATTTAAACGGGTATCGATGAGTTTTTACAGAGTCCCCTAGGGCCTAGGCCCTAGTGGAGTATACAGATATTACAAAGAGGCATTAATACTGAACGACCGTCAGGGTTCTACAGTATTATTTCGCAAAGATTTTATTTGTAGTCTTGTACCGTTACATAAGTTCGGTTGTTAGAGTGCGTAAACGATTGTAACTGTAGTAACCAACCAACATATTTTTAAAATACATTTATAAAAATGAACAAAAATATAATGACTATAAATAGCTCAAAAGACAAAAAGAGTTAAAATGTTTTAAAAATTGTATCATGTATAGAAATATATATAAACTAAACATTTGGTGAAAATTTCAAGTTAGTTTTTCGTTTTTGAAAAAAATTGAATTAATTTGATTTTTTCGAAAATTGGTATTATAGTAACTATAGTTATTGTAACTTTGTATAATATACCTCTTACACTTGTTGAACAATTCAATTTTGTTACAATTCTATTATTCGAGATACTTTTGTGATGGTCGACCAAGCACAATCTGTTTTTCGCCGCCGCGGCGTTCGTAAGAACACGGTTAAAGCAAATGATAGTAATAAAACTAACGATGACTTGGAATCAGGATTGTTGTGTCCTTATCAACTAATATTTTTATTGGAAAGCACATTAGACGATACAAGATACATAGAAGTCTATAAAGAGGCAGTGGAGGGTATGCATGGCGTCGAAGACCAAGCCTGCAATGTGGTGGTTATAGACCATAATCGACTTGTTGAATCGTTAGATAACAGTTGCGTCGAGCAGGACGAACAGTATCGGTTACTACACGATAGAGCTAAAAGGTATTTACATAATAACAGTAGGGTGTCTACTAAGCTGATGGTGCTGCTTGTGCGTCAATTAATTATTATCAACCTAGAATCAATGCGTCAAAAGTGGAATTTCGACACCGAGCCGTATACATTTCAACCAGCTGTAGTGAATATAGTCTTAACCAATTTCATTGATTTGGAATTCATGACCGAATTCATCGCCAGTAAAATCAAAGTTGACGCAATTGTTAAGTTGAGCTGTGGAGAAATCGCTCAAACCCGGGAAAAGTTTGTCTCGAGGGCGTTTAGGGCCAAACAGTCCATGGCGAATAAAGTCATCCAAAAGTTTTGGCAGAATTTTCACGACGGGTTGAACACAGCTGAGGGGGCGTCAGTGTTCAAAACTGTGGTGGTCTATCAATACAAGTCGAAATACAACGCCGACTATGAACCGCCAAACGTCGAAAAAATGCTCGTAGCGGCCAGGCGATATGTGATGCGCGAAATGCACAGAGTACTTTTGTTCGTGTACAACGTGAGAGCCGAATACGAAAAGTATAAGCGAAACGACAACCCCGTGTGCGCCTTAAACGTAAACGACGATGTTTCGACTGTCCGGAATTACTATGAATCGTACACCAAACACTTGAAGGCGTATCCGGAAGACGCGATTGGATTGCCAACGATTTTGGACGCGATGGTGAAAGCTGCAATTGGCGGTGCCGTACAACCACCGGCAGAGAGATGGGTCGACGCATTTTTCGGCGAGCTGAGAGATGATAGCGACGACGGCTGTATGGTGTATCCAGCCTGCGTACAGTATGGAAACAAATGCGGTCTCGTCGAGAAGAAGCACGACTTGCGTCACACGGACTATTTTGATTCTGCCGTGAACGTGTTGAACGTCAGATGGAGAAAATCGTTGTGGGGTTTGCGTCCGTTGCCATCGTCAGACACTGAGGCTGAGCACGACTGCTTCATCGCGCACGTAAAAAAGGTATGCGAGCACCGTACCAGCAGTGACGACGTGGACGTGCAACTATGTGTACTGGCTCTGAACCGATTGCGGAGCAACTTGGACATATACAGGGGTGAACCCATTGGTTTGCCGGGATTGGAACGGACAAACGTCAAGTTTCGGCCAGAATTCATCGAGCCGGCCGGCTGTGCGACGATGGTGCAGATGTTGCAGAAAGAGTCAGAAAACTATAAGAGAATGAGTCACGCATATTTCGAACCGGAAGACGTGGTTGTGGTTGGATTTTACGATTGCCAAAAAGTCATGCAGACTCGCAAATCCTCTTTCAAATTCAATATGCCCCAACGACCCGTTTGCGCCAAAGACTATTTCGATCTGCATTACGGCAAGAGAATTCCAAACTGTTTTTACGCGATGGACACTGCTGCTGCAGCTGCAACTTCAGACTTGTCTTTGACGTATACGGAAGAAACGGAAGAAATCCGTTTTGAAGATGACGGTTTCTTGACAATCTCCAAAAGAAAATGGAGATTTGAACCCAGTACTGTTAGTCTGGTGTATAAATCCGGTAATTACAAAATTATCAAACACGTGAAATCGGTGGACGACGATCGTCATCGACGCGGAGGAGAGGACAGAGACAACGAAGATTGGCTAAGGGTTTACAACAATGACGCAGGTCTTGAGTACTATGTGGATAAGTCTCGAAAGAACGTCATCAGGTGTATCGGCAGAGTGTCAGGGGAGGGCCCTAGGGGCACGTGCACTGTTGAGATGATTTCATCGAACGACCCAGGTTATGGCATGCTGCAGCAGTCAAACCAGTCAAGGAGTGACGTCGATGGTGCCAAGGTTAACACTGTGGGAGTGGAAGTGTGCCGGCTTTACGGCAACGGGCGGGTGGTCGTCGAGTACCGGGACCGAACGAAAGTCACTTACAATTCGAATGGAAAAATCAATCGACCGTCGAAGTCTGCTCGAACACCGCCCTCGGAATCGTCGAAGAGCAGTACCAGTAAATCCAAGGCCTCGTCTCATACCGGTAACAGTACCGATAGCGTTCCCCCCAAAATCGAGATCTCTAAGAGCGTTAGGGTAAAGAGCCAGGCCCGAAAAAATACTAAAAGCGTAGTGGGGATGGGCAAGAGTCCGTCAAGAATGAGACGGAAAAAGTCGAACATCTCGTCTTCTAACACGAGCACTAACAACAAGAACAACGACCCACTTCAAGATCATCCGCTGATCAGGCGTTACCCCGACTACGTGGAACGATTTTCTGAGGACGGCTCCACGAGGACGGTGGAGTTCGTGGACGGGACATGCATCGTGGGTGCGACAAATGTCCGTCAATCATCGACGGTCACCGCTCCGTACGAGTACCTCCATCCCGCGTACCATCCCGTGATCGAAGACCAGGACGGAACGTTCAACGTGCCCGGTCTCTGCACGATTTCCCGTGGTTTAGCCGGCGGACCGGTTGGGCTACGGTTGACCGACGGGTTGGTGCGGATCGATGCTACCACCGACGCTGTGTACGTGTATCGGTCAGACGACGATGACGAAGAGCAGTTGACTGCCACTTTTGGCTGGGACGATTCGGAGTTTCTATTCGAAAAGCGCTTAAACGCCACCCGAGTGGTAACGGTACCACGGAAGCGGCGACTGGGCGATGATCTGGTCCTAGGCATGACCTGTACGAAGACGGCCATGACTGACGAGGCGTCGTCTGCATCTGAGTGTTTCGTCGTCAGACGAGGCATGTCGGGATTCAAGACGTTGGATGGCGAAGGATATGAGCGGTTCGCTAACAGCGTGCGCGGTCGCCAGCACACGGCCGTGCGTGAGAGCCCACGGGTGAGGAGCGTAACCGTCTTCGCGGCAGACGACCTCAATGTGGAAAAGCCGTTGACGATCGGTGTACCTGCCGTGGCGATCGTCGAAAATTTCGCGTGGCTGAGACCGTTTTTGGGAAAAGCCGCTGCCTCAGACGACGAACGCGTCCCGACCAAAGTGCAGTTGATATCTCGTTCGTTCCGCAAAGTTGACGTCGATTATGGCCCCGTAATCGAAGCTCTGAAGCTGCTGCGAGATACCAGTTCTGGTACCATGGCCACTATGGACGTCCTGCCCGGGAAACTACACATCCGCTTGTACGTCCCTGCTGTGAACGCATTGAGAAAGATGTACGCATCCGGGGATCCTCGTAATCGCGAATCGTCGTTATCGCGGCGTGATTCGGCAGCGGCGCACGACAAACGGTTGTCCGAGAAACTGTCCCACCTCAGACAAGAGTGGTGTGACGCGCTTGAGGCACGGTCGCTGATGAGACACAACCGGTTCATTCCGTTCTTCCACACTGATGATTTCGGCCCTTTGAGAAAGCATCTGAACGCCAACGGTCTGTGATATTTTGTGGAGTGATGTGTGGATAGACTGTGCTGCAAATTGCGGTGCCCCGTGAAAAATAGTTTAAATAAAATGTTTTGTTGAATTATACTTAGGTTTATTTTATATTACATGAAACATGAAGTTTGGTGAAATGAGCGTTTGTGATGTTGTTAACACTGATTCGGTGGCCCAACAATTTTGACAGTTGTTTCGACGGAGCCTTGCTGTCAATAGGAGCCAATGGCTGACCATAACTTTTGGAAGGTCACTAACCACTAGCCTTATTGATCTGGAGCATTGAGGATTTGTTATCAAAGAGAAAGAAAAGATGAAATTAAATTATATTATTTTTTAATTATATGCTGCACATTGGTTTAAACAGAAGATCATTTTAATTAGAGATATTTTAAGTTAGGGCTGAGAAAGCCGAATGGCATAAAATTAGGACTGCGATGATAATCGTGATGAGAATATATATACTGTATGCATTATAAACCATAAAAATATGGTATGAATATGATAATAATAATAAACTTAGAAAGGGGCACCGACGCGGTGACGCTCGTAGACGCCGATAATAATTCCGTGATTGGTCGTTCTAGAGTTCTAGATAACAGTCTAGTCGAGAAAAAGGAACTAGAGTGGCTTGAGTGTGTGTTCCATATATTATTATTTCGGGCAGCGGCTATTGTCTATGCTTGGGCCTTCTCGCTGATAACGGTGATTTTAGCTGCACTAAGGCATAATTAAATATATTTGAGATTTACTCGTATCATTTTGTTAATTTGCATCAGATGTCACTGAGTTTTTCTATCCAATGCCATTAAAGCTACCAACTCAATGGCGAGGCATATTCGCAGGCCAGAAAATATTCATTAGGTGGCCCATTGATATGTGGACCCCCTAATTCCCGACATTTTTTTGTATTATAAAAAGGTAGTCACTTATCACTTATCACTATTACTATCGTACTTATCTACTTATTACTTATCGGTACATCATTATTACAAATATAATATAACCTAATAAAATATGTTATGTTTTATATTTTATTTTCATCATTTTTTCATTAAGTGCAATTAAAAAAATATCATAAAATACATAAATAATTAAATGTATAAATAAAACAATTGCTTTTAATTAATTATAAATTATAATATTAACATTGAACATTCATAGGTACTATGAGGTAGTAATCAAGTTATATCTCTATGCAAGAGTTCGAATTAAGATAAACAAATTAAGTTTATTTGAATTCGTAGACAAGAGAAAGATAATTTTTGAGTGGTATGAATTAAATGTTGCCATATGATAATGTGCCGCACTGATTACTTTGGGTGGGCCAAAATGCCAGATACATTATGGGGTGCTTATGTAGTGGAGTTTATGCCGAATAAAAGAAAGAGACTTCATTTTATGTAGTAGTACCTGCTAACACATTCGCTTGGATATTCAGATAAAATGTATTGTTTTTTTTTCGGCTAAACTAAATAATTATAATAATTGTTTATTATTACACGTCGATACCCACCTGCCTAGAAGCATCTGTGGTTGTCGAGTTTGATTGTTACTTATTTTCAGCTAGCGACTATTTCTTACTAAAAAAGGTATAGGTACTTATACAATTTACACGTTTATTTTAATTAATAATAAATAATTATTTATAAACTTAATCGGACTAAATTTAAGCCCTTCTCTCAAGTGATGTCCTCTTTAATTTTAAAAAAAAAAACTGCATGAACATCCAATAAGTAGTTTTCTCGGTTAGCGCGGTCGTAGAAAACCCCTTACAATTGTATATAATAGCATAGATAAATATGGATTATCCTTTTGAAATAGCCTCACAAACTAATATTCTTCTGTATTATCTATAGATATAGATATAGCGAGGAATGTCTTATTTTATTAAATTTAAAAATAAAAAAAATAATTTTTAAAAATATTGTAGATAAGAATTTTTTTTGCCTGGTCAGAATACTCAAGTCGTTAATCGTTAATAACGGAAAATACAACAAAAGTTGAACGCAAATTTACAATCATTAATTTTTGAACTTCTGAAGTTCAAATTTTGACAAACTTCAAAAATTACGAAAAATTGGAAATTATTTTTTTTAGAGATTTATGAAAATGTTTCTATCAGAGATTTGAAAATTTAATATAAGTTGTCTCATAAGTTTTTCTTTCTTTTTTTAAAGAAAAGGGGTAATGTCAAAATAAAAATTACCGGTAAATCAAACTAAGTCAACTTATTATGAGCGTTTGAAGCTCTCGGAATTTGATTTTCAGACGCAAATTAATAAATTCTCATCGAACAATTTTATTATTTCGTTGTAAATCAAAAACAAATATCCGTAAAAGTAAGTGCTTGAAATTTTCACCAAATATTAATTTTATAATTTCCTATACATGATAACATTGAAAACATTTCCAAAATATTTAGACTCGTTTTAAGCTATTTTTTTTTTTTTAAATTTGAAATTCTTTTCATTTCTTTAAATGTCAGTCAAATTATATTCATTCAGTCAAAAAGCTTGCAAATTTAGTATAAGGTTCTTTAAAAGTTTGTATAACTGTAGTTGATAAATAATATTTAAGTGCTACAGTCGTAGATTTTTTTAAAAAGAATTTGAAGTTCAAATGTTTTGACATAATGATGTTAATTTCATCAAAACCTCTAAAATTTTCAAATTTGTTGCTGTTAAAAAAATATAAAATGTTCAATTTGTATACAGCTAATTAGCTTAAGATTGAAAACTTAAAAAAAAGGACTGCCACAAATAGTTCAAACTTACGAACAGTATTTGTGTAATTATACCATCACAATTAAAAAATTAAAAACCATACAAAATCCTAGATCCACCAGTGCTTACCAATGCTGAGTATGTGGCTATCAGGATATTATGTAACCACTTACCAGTATATTATTACGTCTTACATATTCTAGTAGATATAAAAAATTATAGATATAATAAATGTATAAAGCAACTCGATAGCCTCTCCACATTCCATCTTCCGAGCGACGAGTACTATAATCCTATACATATATCGGATGTATAATAGGTACGTCCATACTATAGCATAAAGCGTGAATTAAATTAAACTAATTAAAGACTAAAGATGTCTTCAGTAGAAATTAAAATAGTAAACAATAAAATCATAAATCAAAAAAATTAAAAACTTATGTACGTTTATTGACTGATGTGAATAAATTAAAATTAATCTAAATATTTTAAATATTTAATTGTGCTAAGTAAAAAAAAAACTTGCGTATAGTGTGTCGATCAGTAAAAATTGAGTGTTTATTTTTTTTTTAAATGTCAAGTCCTTACTATTAATATTTATGAAATTAAACTTATAGAATAATGTATGAAACATTCTGTGCTATAATTTGAAAATGTTTTACTAACAAAGCAAAAAAAATGTATAAAAAAAAAAGCAAAAAATGTATATAGACAGAACGGTCACCCATCCAGTTACGTAGCATAAAACCGCTGGCTGAGTCGCAGAAATCTTGGAAGAATCCCACGACCGCCAGAGGTTGTCCTTACGGTGATGGTTGGTACGAAAAATATGTCATTTAACTTACAATTTTATGTTCATAGTAACAAAATTATTTACACATCTATACCTACTTTTGTAATTTTAACGAATTTCGTATTTTTTCTTTAAACAATATATTATTATTATCATTTACACTGATTTTTTGTTTTATTTTTACAAGATTAAATTTAAATTTAATGAATATTTTTACATTTTACCCCTGACAAGATTCTATTGAACTTCAATAATAATATGTGTATTGTCTATACAAATAATGTGATAATATTTCTTGCAGATTTTTGACTTTCGTTAATAAACTAATAACTAGGTATTGGTTGTTAACATTTCATTACCATCTGTAGAGACGTGTAAATAGATATTAGTACCTATACCTATTATTTATAAATGTAGGTATAAGAGCATGACTAATTATCCATTTTTCTTGGGATTTTAATTTTTAATGGATAAGTATAAATAAAAATCAACTTATACATTTTTAATGTTTTAAAATTATTACATGAACATCTTAAGCGTTCTGCATTTTTGAGGAATCTTGTATCAATCAGTTTTTAATCCTATAGTAATTATCGCTAATCGTATCGCAATAGGTAGGTAGGTAGGTAGGTACCTACTGAAACTGTCTTCAACGTTTCTCCAAAAACTGTAATACCAAAGCTGTTTTGTTTACATTTTTATCACTTTTTTTTTTAAAGTAATGGATATTTTCTTTTTTTGACCACCCAAAGTTAAAAGGACCCACTAGAATACTAGATCCAAATTTTATAAGACTAAAATATTGGAAATTGGTAATTACACTCAACACGCTTGTCAAAACAAAATTATTAAATCAAAGAAAATCTATTTGCTTGTATTTAAAATCATTGTATGCATTGATATCAAGAGGACGTTATAGGTACTTGCATGTGTTCTATCCGTCTTACAAGTGCGTAAGGCACTCGGCGTAGTCGAAAAAAAAATGAATAAAATATATCAACAATAATCTCATTAAATATTGTAGGCGTGGCAAAACCAGAACAGCAGCCCAAGAATAGAATTACAAATTCGTGTGGATGTAGATGAGCGATATTGCATAAATTGTAATTCGAATTGACAAAAACACAAAGGTACTGAAAATCTACTCTAAACTGGATTTAATTTCACTATTACATTATACTATTATAAAACTTAAGCTATCAATACTTATCAGTTGCCATTTTACAAATGTTTTTACACCTGGCGTTTGAAATAAAGCTACACAGTATACACTTTTGTTATCACATGATTAGTTTTCTTAATTTCCTTATTTTATACATATATTTAAAATTATATACATTTTATAATATGGCAAAATATTTTCTAAACATACATTGGCTAAAAAATACAGATTATACTTGAACATAATTCCTAATATACCATACCGTAGTTGAGGGAAGTGCGACACAAACCCAAATAAATTGCATACGGATACTTCAAAACACCTCTTTCAAAATAATATATTACGAACCTAGGCTTTTCCCGACCAATACATTATCCTCTGAAAGCAAAATATGAATAGTGAAGCAATTTTTTTATAAGTCATCAACTGCGTGGTTATATGCCGGTTTTTACTGTGAGAATAGTACTGTTGGGTCAGAACACGTGTACGTGTAGCAAGAATTTGTTACTAAAAATCCCAGGTGGTCACCCATCGGATAACTAGTAACACCGGCCGGTGTGTACACTCAGAGCTTGGTCATGGTATAGATTATAGAAGATAACAAGTAGAGAAAGCTACTACACATTCCATTGTTCGCTGGATCCATACTTTTGTATCTTATAATTTCTGCTGGCAGGCCGTATCTGTTATCGCTGTATCAATCACCACTTTTAGCCATGATTATATAATTTATATATAATGTATAACTACGAGTATATAAATGTGAAATTAAAATTTTTGTACAGGGTTAACTCTGGAACTACTTATCAGATCTTCTTGATTTTTTTTTTAAACGAAAGAGTATATCACGGAGAAAGTTTCTATTGCAATAGTATTTATCGAAGTTAATAAACAATTGAGTTATCTATCAATTAAAGTAAACGCGTAAATTGTAAATCTATACCCTTTTTAGTAAAAAAATAGTAGCTGGTTGAAATTAAATAACAATCAAACTCGACAACCACAGATGCTCCCAGGCAGGTCGGTATCGACGTCCAATAATAAACAATTATTTTAATTATATAAAAAACCAATTATTAATTTGATCTGAATATCCAAGCGAATGTGTTACATTAGTTATTGGTAAAAAACTATTTTTCTTTTTGCAACTCCGAGTCTCCACCTATTATTATAAGTACCCTCCAAAATTGTCTACATGCGACAGCGGTCAGACGATGGAGATGATGACCAAATCAGAAAACTGTCGAATATTCATAACGCCATAGGTAAGTACCTACACTTAACAAACATATTAATAACGAAATCGGTACGGGATCAGCTAGTACAATATATGTATATATATTATATATAAATAATAATATAATAATATAGATTATATAAATTATTAAAACTGTGGTCTGCCAGCTTCGTTTGCTGATAAAATAGTTATATTCAGTGGTAAAGCTTGCTTTCTCTACTTGTTATCTTCTATAGTTCTATACCGTGGCGCGGTCGCAACTGAATGTAGACACCTGAAGGTAAAGCATATATATATATTATATTATAAAAAACTCTTATATTATATACCATGTAATACATGATGCATGTACATATATATAATACGAGGTCTTTAAATTTAATATATCATAAAACAAACTAAACCAAATACCATGACAGGTATCTGATAACTGGATTGAAATTTGTATGGTTGTAAATGAACTTCTATTTAAACACAATGACATAATATGACCATACCAAACACAATTTCCTAGAGGGCAATTTCAGCTGTTGTTCTTTACGTCAACTATGTCATGAGACTCGCAAAGAAAAATAAGAAGACACCAAAGAGGGCAATACAATATCAACGACAAAAATAGAAAATAAAAAAAGTTAGTTGTAATCCTTTTTTGAACATTATTTTTAAATAATTAAATATCTAATAACTACGTATTTTATCCTACAGGTACACATTTGTGGATTTTTATGGATAACTTTCAAATAAAATAACTATTGATGATTTGAACGAGATGGCCCCCATGGACCCCCCCTCTGAGCTTATTTCATATTATGTTGTGTACGTGTGTCATGTGAGTGTAATATTGTATTTGTGCGCAAGAGGGACATATGAATTAAATTATTTTTTCATACATTAACTAACCATACAACCATGTATGTTGTATTTATAGTAATTGTATACTGTAATATAAATAATAAATTTATTGCTAC